ATCCACTTTGCATTCCTGTCATTGAAGTAGACTGGTGATCATGTGTGATCTTGATAATGTTGTTGGATTCATTTCAGGTGTTTCTTTGGGAATTCTGCATTTTTCCCTCTCACAGGAACAGATGTACAGTTTTTGTTGAAGTTATTGTATTCCAATCAAGTTTTCCAATCAAGGTAATGCTAACTTTAGGGATTCAGTCGGGCAGTTTTCCTGCCCTTCTATGTCAGAGGTCTGGATTAGGTCTTCTGTGCATATATGAGAGATCTTAGTGTCTTCAGTATTGGGTTCTCTTCAGAAAGTCCTCCCCCCCATCAATAAGGTCAAGTATATTCCTTACATTCATTTCTATCAGATTCGGGTATCATTTTTAAAAATAAAAATGTCTTTTGTTATTGTTAATTATTATCATTATTATTATTTTGGAAAATCATAATGATTTCATGGGTTTGCTAACAGAGCATGACATGGGGATTTACTTACAGAAGAGTGGATGCCCCAATCTCCCCATTTACAGCTTTACATTAAAGTCCACACTCAAATATAGATCCTGTGATTTCCCAACATCTGCAAAATATGACAAGAGGGGTGCCTCATTGTGTTCTTGGCCTATATATCCTTAGCCCCTCCCCTGATGCAGCTAAGGTCAACTGATTGGATGGGAGGGGTAACTGAATCCCCCCTTGACTACTTAGTGATACTTTCAGTTAACACTCCATTCCTTCCTCTACCTCTTACATTCTTTCCACCAATCTCTTCCACAGAAGACCCTGAGCCTTGGAGGGGGTGATAGGTGTGGAATGGTCTTCCTCCCATTGTGGCAAGTACTGGGCTTTCAGATCTCTGCATCATCTATTTTGCATGGGCTGTTGGCCCATTTTGGTGGGATTCCATCTACTATAAGAACACAAACAGCAAGAAGCAAGAACATCTAAATAGTGACTGCTCTAATAATCTATGGGCATAAACACAAATGCTTGGATGGTAATTTAACAGGTGCATCACATCTATCTAACAAAACAATTGCAGTGGCTTCCCCACTGGGGCCTAGAACCTCCCCTGCTACAGGGGGTTGGCCTGGTCTGTGTTCCACCCTAGGAATGGGCATTATATCCAATTGAAAATTTCCTGGTTGTACATATGCTAGATGCACCACTATTGCACAAGGAACATCTTGTTTGGCATGTCGATACTGCAGCTCACAGGGTCCATTGTTGAGCAGAATTATAGGGGACAATTCTCCCCCAGCCATCTGCATAGCACCTTCTGGCACTGTGAAAGCCACCCACACAGTGGCAGGGAGTTTACAGCATAGTCCAAGCTTGATTTCTCCTTATCTTCTTTTAGTTCTTTGATTTATTTGAGTGTTCTTTAAATTCGTTGAATTCCTTGATCATGTTTATGATTGTTCTTTTAAATTCTGTGTCCTGGCTTATCTCAAGGGGTTTCTCCTTGTAGAATTCTTCTACAGGACTGGTGGAGTTGGTGGGAGCATACTGTTTTGGTTTTCCATATTATTATTTTTCTGTTGTGATTTTGGCAAGTGGGTTTATTTTGTTATTTGTGATTCTGGTATGAAACTCAAGCCTTCTTTTGTTGAGTTGAAGTTTTCTTCTGTTTGTATTACTGGCATGCCTTGGTCCTTTTCTTATTCGATATGTAAAGGTGCTTGGTCTAGGTTTCAGGTTCTCTCAGATTTTATTTTAGAGGGAACTGCTGGCTTCAGATCAGCTGCTCAGGAGCCCCCACAGAAGCCCAAGTCAGGCTCCAGTCAGGGCTGCTCAGGCTTCCTTCTAACATTTGGACCCCTACTAGTGGGTACTCACAGCACAATTTGGGAATATTGCTATGGGGAAGCCTGATTTTGCATTCTCAGGCAGACTGGTAAGGTCTCAGGCCTTACCTTGCTCTAGGGCAGAGAAGTCTACCCCTGGTTTGTGGGAGGGGCCTCACATAATCCCAGTTAGGGGATTGGGTACTTCGTGATTTGGGGAAGGTCACCACCATGTGTAGGCCGCATCAAGGTGCTTTCTGATAGTCTGCTGAAGTCTCAACCCCTATCCTACTGTAGGACAGGAGGTCTATTCCTAGGGACGTGGGAGTGGCCTCATGTAATCCCAGTTAGAGTATTTCCTACAGCATGATTTGGGGAAGCTCACCACCATGGAGGAGGCAAGATCCAGGCCCTCTCAGGCCGTCTGCTGAGTTCTCACCCCTACACCAGGCAGAAAGCCAGATCAGGGACTCTTCGGCAGTCTGCTGAGGACTCAAGTCCCTAAATCAGGTTGAGGCCAGATCAGGAATTCTCAGGCAGTTTGTCAAGGTCTCAGCCCCCACCCTACTGTAGGGCAGAGAGTTGTATCCCTGAGGACATGAGAGGGGCCTTGTGTAATCCCAGTTAGGGGATTGGGCACTATGCGATCTGGGGAAGGTCACCACCATTCGGAGGCCAATCCAGGAGCTGTCAGACAGTCTGCTGAGATCTCAGCTCCCACCGTAATGTAGGGCAGAGACTTCTACCAAGTTATCACATTTTAATTCGAGTTCCTTAATCCATTTGCAATTGGGTTTGGGCAGGTTGAGAGATAAGGATGTAGTTTCCGTCCTCCACATGGAGCTGTGCAGTGTGAGAGCCCCATCCATTGTAGGTTCTGTCATTTCTTCAATGCTTATTTTTGGCTTCTTTTCAAAATTCACTCGAGCATACGTGCATGGACGTTACGTCCCAGTCATCATTTTTGTTCCACGTCTCCACATATGAATGTGTCTTTTTTTATGCTGATACGATGCTCTATTTATTAAAATAGCTGTGTTGTAGAAATTGAAATGCAGGATGAAGGTGCCTGATAGGGTTTGATTGAATTTGTAGATTGCTTTTGATAGGATGGCCACCTCCACAGTATAAATCCTATGAATTCATGAGTATGAACTATTGGTATCCATTTTTATTCCAGTGTCTTAAAGATTTCATTACACAAGAATTTCACTTCCTAGGTCTGCTTTTTTTTCCCATGGTACTTTTTTTTGAGAGCATTGTAAATGGTTTTGTTTCTAAAATGATGGATGCTGAGGGAGGAAGAATCACCTTTCTCCAGGGAGTAGCTTTCTGTGACATGACTTAATAACAAGTGGGCAGTCCTAAACACATGTACACATGAACACCACTAAATGGATTCAGTGCATCATATATATATATAAAATATATATTGTAATACGTATAGTGTATTATAATACATAATCTATAATATAATACATATAATATATAATACATTATATACATAATTTTATGAGTATGTATCAATAATATTCAAAGAAGAGGACAAGAATGTGAGAGGGAATGGAGGGGACGTGGCAGGAGTTGGTGGTGGACTGGAAAGGATGGAAATAATGTAAAGACAATACTCATGTATGAAGTTCTTACATGCAGAGGATCCTTCACCATCAGGGAAATGCAAACTATATCTACTTTGAGATTTCCTCTTAAACCAATGACAATGCCGAGGTTAAAAACAGAGATGAGTGCAACGTACAAGTAACGGGTCAACATTCTGGTTGAGCTCTCCCCACCTGGAAACAGAAGCCTCAGGTTATCTCTCATTTTGTATATTACCATTGAATATTTAGATGCCTCTGTTTCACTTGGAATACATAGAAATCTGGACCTGAGTAAGAGACCATCAGGGATAGAGTCTATCAGAAGAGGGAAAATATTTACAATTGTTCTCTCTGCATGAATTTCTGATTTTCTCATATGTACTGATCATTTTGTCTCTTCTACCCACATTTGCTTACGGTCTGCTTTATGATATGTGGGAACTGATATTCTAACTTGTTTATTTATTCTTTTTAACTGGTCATTGGAGTTCCATAATTCATTCTGGTTTTCTGATTTTCAGTGCCAGTGAAGTGTGTTTCTTGGACAGAAGAGATACTTGTATCTTGAACCTACTCTTCTAGATTCTGTCTTTATATTGGTACCAGAGGCTATTTTAACTTAATAGTATTACTGAGAGAGGATTTTTATTCAGTATGATTTTGCTGATGCTCTGATTATTGAAATCATTGATAGCTATTTCCTTTTTTATTAGTTTTAATATTGGCCTTATTTTGTTTTCTGTATTGCTAATGGAGGATTCTTTCTGGGACATGGTACGCTAATCAATTACTCTTTACAATTGTATTCTGACTTCTGTTCCCATGAACGAGTGTTTTTCTCCTCTGTGTATCCTGTTTGCTTCCATAAATTCTAAACTGCTGGCTTGCTTGCCGTGAATTGGTGCTTTTCTTCAAATACCCCTCCTCCTCCATCAGTCTGAAGAGATTCCTTTTCTGCCTGTCAATTTTAGCTAATATGTTCAGGGTCACTACCTTAAATGTATTTGTGCATTATTTCATGCTGTTCTGGCCTCTGGTCTTTGTTGACAAGAGATATGATATTATTACAAATTTTCTGACTTTGTAATATGTTGATATTTTCTCAACTGGATTAAGTATTGACTTTTTACTTAGTATTATTAATATGTTGCCTATGACTTGGAATACACAGCTGTGTCAGTATTTATTTGGGCTTTCTAAATAACTGATTGTATATCTATTTCTCTATTTTTTTTTTTTTTTTTTTTTGGTTTTTTTGGGACAGGGTCTCCTAGTAGCCCCAGCTGGCCTGGAACTCACTATGTAGACCAGGCTGGGCTCAAGCTCACAGAGATCACTGCCTCTGCCTCCCACATGCTGGGATTAAAGGTGTGTGCCACCACACTTGGCTTCTTTCTCTATTTTTTATAAACATTTATTTTTATTGATTAAATTTTCATACTTTAGTTTTTATTTCAACTCCCTCTTTTAGTTCATGGATTTTTATTTTAGTTTACTTGAATGTTCTTCACTGTCGTTGGACATTTTATTCATGCTTAGTACATGTACTTCATATGTCTCTTAATGTTTAGTATTCTAAGCCTTATTCTCCATATTGAAATGAACTCCCCTTTGTGCTTTTTCTGGAGAACTCAACCCTTAGAAGACAGCAGAGAGTTTATAATGTAGAGAAGCTCTACAAATGTGAAGAATGTGGTGAGTCCTTTATTCTAATGTCAAGACTTCGAAGACATCAGGCAGTGCATACAGGAGAGAAGCCCTACAATTGTGAAGAATGTGACAAGTGCTTTACCAAGGCCTCAAATCTTAGAAGTCATAAAAATATTCATACTGGAGAGAAACCCTATAAATGTGAAGAATGTAATAGGTCCTTTACTGCGAGTTCAACACTTAAGAATCATTACAGAATTCATACTGGAGAAAAACCTTACAGATGTGAAGAATGTGACAAGTCCTTTACCCAGGTCTCACATCTTAGAAATCACAAAAGTATTCATACTGGAGAGAAACCCTACAAATGTGAAGAATGTGACAAGTCTTTTACTGCGAGCTCAACACTTAGGAATCATTATAGAATTCATACTGTTGAAAAACCCTACAGATGTGAAGAATGTGACAAGTCCTTCACTGCACGCTCAACACTTAAGATTCATTACAGAATTCATACTGGAGAGAAACCTTACAGATGTGACAAATGTGACAAGTCCTTTACCCAGGCCTCAAATCTTAGAAGTCATAAAAGTATTCATACTGGAGAGAAACCCTACAAATGTGAAGAATGTGACAAGTCCTTTATTGATAGCTCAAAACTTAGGACACATTATAGAATTCATACTGGAGAAAAACCATACAAATGTAATGAATGTGACAAGTGCTTTACTCGAATGTCACGTCTTAGAAAACATAGGGCCATACATGCTGGAGAGAGACCCTACAATCGTGGAGAATGTGACAAGTGCTTTACCAAGGTCTCAAATCTTAAAAGTCATAAAAATATTCATACTGGGGAGAAAGTCTACAAATGAAAAGGGGCTGAGAGTCCTTTACTCATATTTCAACTCTTAGAGATCATCAAAGAATGCATAATAAAGGGAAACACTACAAATGTGTTTGGCAATTCCTTTAACTATATATCAAATGGTAAACTTACCAAAGACAGCTTACAGCTGCAGAGCATGTGGAAATCCTTTTCTCTGTGCTCAACTCTTAGAAAACAAAACAGAATCTGTACTAAAGCGATTTGTTGCAAAGTAAGGAAAATGTTGAAACATTTATATTTATGTATTACAAAACTTCACAGTACACTGAAGAAAATTTAGAATTAAATACAAACTGGCAAAATGTGTAAAAACTTTATTTCTACATCAATAAAAAACAATTCATAAGCGGGAAGAAATGAGAAACATAAAGAATGTGAGAAAAACCTTTACTTTTCTATTCAATCATGTTGAATATCACAGAATCCTTATTGTAGACAAAACCTACAGCTAAAAATAATACCAGCCACCATTCACAAATGGTGCCAGTCTAAGGAAACATCTCATTATTTATTATCAAAGAATACAGTGTGAATAAGTACATAAGTATTAAGGAATTGCCACAATCAAAAGAATGTTTAGGTGTTTTCAGTACTGACATGGTAAAAACAACAGAGATTGGAGAAAATTTTAAATTAATCCTTACAAGATTTGTGAGTTTAACACTATATTATCCTATGATATTTTAAGCTAGGTTTTTGAAAATGGAACATAGTGATAAAAATTGAAGACCCTGTATTCTCAGCCAGAGTATTGTGATGAAATAAAACAAAAGCTATTATGTTAGATATTATTATAAATTATTATATTTACACAAAAATGTATATAGATATATATGTAGATAGAATCATATCTGCAGGAAAGTTAGTTATATTCCCAGTACTGTATCTTCCTGAGGACTGTACAGTATTTGTTAGTTTAATATGGAAATTAATTCACTCCATCTTGCTTTCAAAGGATTATTTGACAATTTGTTTCAAAAGTTGCTGCGTGAGAGCTGATAAATACATAGTACATTATCAAGGCATCATTAATATTAGTTGTACCATGAATAATTAATGCCTGAGGCAAAATTCATAAATGAGATCCAAATTTGATTTGCTTTTTTACTGAGTAGCACTAAGAATGCACTTCAGTGTAAAGTAGGAGTGCTTCCTGCTAAGTCAAAACAACCAATCCTGAATATTTGAGATGAACCATACTTTCTGTTGATCAATAATGAGATTAATAATGGCAAGTCCATTGAATTACTAATAAATATTTTTGTAGATTTTTTTGGATTTTGTTAATACAATTTCTGTGTGAAAAGTAAATGAAGACAGATGAGAACAATTATCTTTAAAAAGTTATATTTATGTGCTATTCTATGAATATATTAAAATTTTAGTGTT